TTACGATATACCTTCATCAGGAATAGTTTACTGTTATCTCACGCTTTTTGCTACAATACAACGCCCATGTAATAGCGGGTCGAGATAAAGTGCTATCGCGTGTTATTAAATGTACCATTAGGAGTAACATTCAAAACTTGTGTTGTATTATCTAATTTATCTCCGATGCTGTGGACAATATGAGGGTGATTTTTGAATATGCTTCATCACATCTTCATCCTCAATGATATATCTTCCCAAATAGATCAATCACAAAACTTACTGTCCACTTCGAAGCTGTCGGGCATGGGTGGTTAAGTGAATCTACAGGGGAACTACTAGGTATCAAGCACACGCGATTACAGTGGTCAGCTCTGAATGTGTTACCGCACTGAAATGTGAGGAATTTTCTGCTATATGGCACTGGATATATATATATATATATGACTGGACATCATTCTTATAGGAAAATATGCATAGTCATATTCGTCAGCTGAAAGGTAGGCCTACTGTACGTGCATTTATTATACAAATTGTATAGCTTTGTTCCCAGGTACGGATGATGTACATGTGTAGGCCTACATGTACACGTAAAACATTACACACAACTAGTTTATGACAGATCACTGTCATCTTTTCAGTTTTCATTAATTTTTGATTGTTTCAGATGAGTAACATGTTCATCAGGATGAAAAACACACTCGGACCGTAGAAGAGCGTTAAGATTTGCCATTCATTGTGAAAACCAAATACCGTGGAAATTCAGTAGAAGTGGGTCGAGCCTCTGTAGAATATGAGAGGAAGTAAAGTGAACAAACAGTACAGAGAGACTTGTATTTTCAATTAATGTTATTTGGCCCGAACAGGTGCCTGTGTACATGTACGAAGATTTACAGTATATTCCTCGACATTTAATTACTTTTAAAAAATGTCTCATGAGAATGTCATTCACTTAAAAATTCGTCATGTTTCCAAACAAATTCTTCTACTCAAGTTCGTGTCTAGAATTTAACTGATGAAATAGAATAAAGAAAACCCAAGGTATTAGGCCAGATGTGCACACGTACAATGCACATTAGAATAAATGTAGTGCACTGATATTGAAAATAAAAAATATTCAATGGTAAGTATTTATGTGCGGACATTTTTGCGGGCAAGAGACTTACAAATTTGTACTAGCATTAGAGCTTAAACGGAAAATTTAAATACTATTTTATAATTTCAGATGTAAAATGGTGAGGCCGGTGACGAAACTAGCGGGACCGTTTTCGCTAAAATTATTACACGGATTTCTACTTATGCCCGGTCATCACTTGGCTGCCCACGCCCCATCAGGACTCTACGGAATTCTTTACCACGTACTCATGCTTCCAGTCCATCTTTCCTTGTATTTGATTGCACTGACTTATATTTTACTACTCTTCGTATCTGCGGCGGCTGTAGGGCTAATGACTCTGCTGACTGGACTGGCGCTCTGTCACTATGGGTGTACTGCTATTGCTTCACCATTCTTCCTGTCTGGGCTGGGGTTGATGCTGCTTCTTATACCGTTCTTTCATCAAATTGACAATTCATGCGTGTAAAAATACTGTATTATCCATACAATAGGATGCGGTTTAAAACAGTCCTTCTCAAAGACATTCAAAATCATTGACCAAAGTATTGTGCACAGTATATGAAAACACAGCGTCAGGTTTATCGACATATTTTTGCTCGTATGAACTTTTGACGTATCATTTTTCCAAACTACCAGACCTACTGGTATGCTAATTTTTGTGATATCTTGTTAATACCAGTAGGTCAAATAGTTGACAGTAAAATGGAAAAAATAGCATCGACGTTTAGGGGACAATTTATGCATATGTTATGTGTCGTGGTGCTTAAAAGTTTGATTTTCATCGAATAAATAACGAACTGCATGGCGTTAGCACCATACTGCATGGCGTTAGCATGTGTTCCTGCCATCAATGGCCGATTTATTTGGGGGCCAGGGGGGTCCTGACGCCGCCTTCGGTTTCTGAAAAAAGTCACACTAATATTCCCCTCTTGGAATTAGAATTTTGACTAGCTGATTTATAATACTTGCATCCGCGGACGCCTCCTTTAAATAATCCTGGATCCACCCCTGTGCCATACTAATCTAAAGCTTTCACACTATACCATTCACAAAACTTTTCAGGCGACTCCCTCGCGCCACATTGGTGATAGCTACAATACGAGTCGCCAAGCTGTGTGTGGAATATTTCGAGGGTATTATCGAGTCGCAGTCGATACAGTACACGAGTGATTTTCACGTACAGCTCGGTGACGAGTGTCGTTCATGTATCTAGCTTTAATCACGGTCTCTGATTGATTGGCTACTACGCAGCCCTTGCGATATTTTATTCATACATGTACATGTACCGGTAGGCCTACTATTATACTGGAGGTCAGCTGAGAGGTGAAGATTAATTCCAAGCAAAAATTCTTGCAGGACATTAAAAATTATCAATAAAAAGTCAGGCACATTTCTGTGTTTAGTTGAAAATCAATCTGTTTCCTCGATGGAAAGTAAGGCTCCTTGTGGTCACTTTGCCCTTGTTTTGGACTTTGGACAACGAGGGTGAACATGCGTCTTAGACATAACGTTTTAACATATCCACGCAATCTCTTTTTAATACGATAGCGAAAGAGGGATCATCCAGAGATTGGAAGATGCTCTAAAAAATTCTACAGTTAGTGAGAATGTACAGTACAGGCCTGAACCAGCAATTTCAAATGCGGGCATTTTACCAAATAAATAAATAAATAAATAAATAAATAAATGAAATAAAATGAAATAGAATAAAACTCTATGTGCCTAGATCACATTTACCCAGAAAGGATCTTTCCCGGCAAAAAGGGAGGTTCGTTCGCACATTCTACGAGCCTGATTTTGCAATGAGTATACCAGGACAAACATCCACGTGAAGTATTACTAAAAAGTCATTCTGCAAATGGCGCACCTTCAGAGGGGTTTCAATAAAAGAGAGGGAACAGAATAAAATTACTTCTCTCACCCCCACCCTCTCTTATCACGTTATGAAAAATAGTGATAGCCTTACATTCCACTCGCCTACTCAAATTAAGAAATTAGTTATAGTTTCAGATGGCAGAAAATTTACTCTGAGAACGTAGATTAAATATTTGATTTTTGATTTTTTACTTGAAGTATTTTTTTTGCTCATATAAGAGTTTGCGGATCACAATTTGAAGAAAAGAAAACGTGAGTTTTCATTTAAGCATGGTGCGATGTTTCGGTAGATACTGATATTAAATGTTGAAAAAAAAAAACACACACACACACACACTCCACAGGTAGGTTTTATTTTTGCAAGACTCGCGATAAGAGCTAGGGTTCGATATACAGATACTGGGCCCCAGGTTGAAGTTACTAGAGTAAGGGTGCAGCGAGGCATGGAACGCATTCGTACATAACGTGTTGTAAAATGTCAAATACAACATGGCTGAGCCTTTTGTTCTACGCGCTAGCCGCAGTTTGATTCCAATTATTGAACAAAACAAAGATGTTTATTTTATATTTTTGACAAAGAAGGCATGGTTACATACCTGGGGTAGGCCAAGCATGACTTGGAACACGTAGGCCTATGTAGATGTGTTTGGGGTGTGTCAGTTATCTGCACAGTCTAACAGTAAAAATAATATATAGACGTTCGCTAATAAAAAGAAGATTGCCTCATTTGTAAAGACACGGGAAGAAGATTTGAAGATTTGAAAATACATGTTTAATTTCACAACAAAAAAAAAAAATTAAATCAATAGATATAAATATGAATTTAACGGAAAATGTGCAAAGGGGAGTCGTAACAAGGGTTACGTGTTGACAAATTTTAATCTTATCGAAATACTTCAACTATTCATAATCGTTAATTATCAAAAATGTTCCAAGACACCGATTATTTTTCACGACAGCTTGGTTTCCGACACACATTTGAATTGAAGAGAAAACCGGGATTATTTCTTGACGCGGAAGTATTAATAACAGATTTAATGGTGAACTGAATTTCTTTTGACATCAATATTTTTGTGTAGTCATAACTGTTGTTGGTAATGTTTTTGATGTTTGTTCTCCTTTGCAAGGGTATTTCATGTTACAAATTTTGATTAATTTTGATTGATTAAGTATGGCCAATTTGGCACAGTTGGCTACATTGTGCGCCTTTGCTTTTCCCTTCAAACAAATTACGACAGTGGAAATAAACAATTAGGCCTAATCATGCATGTAATTTTACATCGAATTCTTTTGAACTTTTATACAGGTAGGCCATATCTGTTTTAGTTACCAACCAAACAGGGCCAAAGATTCGGTTCTACGTTTTCCTTAACAATAGATTTCGTGGAACTGCAAAGTGAAAGTCGCAGTAGGTCTACAGTGTATATGTACTTACTGCAAGGGAAAACTTATGAAGGAAGTTATGATTAACTTGTGTGTTATCATTTATAATAGGAATTAAGATACTTTTGATCAGCAAAATTTATGGTAAAATTTAAGGTAAAGCAAGTGGATTTCAACACAAAAAGGATACGTGTCAATATACATAAGGAGTAACAAGTGAATAATGGCGGACGGTAATAGAAATGAAAACCCGCAAAAGCCTCCAGATCAACGACTGGTAAGCCCCGATTTGCATATTTTTCTTTAATTCTCGATTTTTGTTGAGATCACTAGTATCTGGTGTATTTATTCCAGAATCATTTTTGTCTCAGAAGGTGCATTTGTAATATGTAAATATGGCATTAACTTAAGTTATATCTTATTCCGAATCAAATTATCAGGAAAGCCGTAGCTATGTAGACTGTTAATTTGTGGTTTGCACGAGTACAAAGTGCAAATTTTCAAATTGCTTGATTGAAACATATAAATTATTTGAAGTCAACCATTAAATATGCATGAATATATATATAGAATTCTTTTGAACTTTTATATAGGTAGATAAGGCCATATCTGTTTTCGTTACTAACCGAACAGGGTCATAGCTTCAGTTCTACGTATTTCCTATCAATAGATTTCGTGGAAGTGAAAAGTGAAAGTCGCAGTAGGTCTACCTATTGTCAGCGACAGCCTGAGAAAGTTATGATTAACTTTTGTGTACTAATTTATAACATGAATTGAGATAGTTTTGATCAGCAAAATTTATGGTAGCAAAGGTAAAGTTAGTAGATTTCAACACAAAAAGGATACGTGTCAATATACATTAGGAGTAACAAGTCAATAATGGCGGACGGTAATAGAAATGAAAACCCGCAAAAGCCTCCAGATCTGCGACTGGTAAGCCCCGATCTGCATTTTTTGTATTGGGTATATTCATTCCAAAATCTTTTTTTGTGTCAGAAGGTGCATTTGTAATATGTAAATGGCATCAACTAAAGTTCTTATGCCGAATCAAATTATCAGGAAAGCTGTATCTATGTAGACTGTTAATTTGGGGTTTGCACGAGTACAAAGTGCAAATTTTCGAATTGCTTGATTGAAACATATTGCTGGTGATAACAAAAATGTTTTGGGCATAGCATAACCATACACCTTCGCACGCGAGAATATCCAAATGTTTGTTCTGTCTTAGCATTGCTTAAAATGCAATGTGTATTATAGGCTACTTTTTTACATGTAGTATATTAAGTTTACATTTATTTGATATCGTAGCAGCTTGAAACTATTTACTTTATCTTTATTTCATTTTCCTTGTACTTTTAGTTTCTGAATGATAGAAAGCGGCGTCATCAGGCGAGTGAGAATAATGCGGTAAATGAGAGGAGAGGATATGAGAGAAACTCTTCACGTCTAACGCCAGATAGAGATCGGTAAGTACGATTTACTTATTTTGTCAATATGACTTTTCCTATCACATGTTGTATAGTAACAAAAAAGAGAAGTCATGAAATATGAAACCCATGTTACAACTCATCCCTTAGATAGCTCAAAATAAGTATAGGTTTTTTTTATCAAATATGAGTGCATTGTGTGGTCTGCAATTCTTCTGATAAGGACACAGAGCACATGATGAGGCAGGACCCATAACAGCCATCATAAGTACAAATAAAGAAGTGCGTGAGCAAGAAAGCGAGGCCGGGAAGTGTAATGGCGAATTACGTTCACTGCGAACAATGCAATTTAGACGTTTTTCAGTCGGTAAAATTGAGTTATTCGACATAGCAAATTAGATATACATTATTAATGGTGACAAAATCAGGCGGAAGATGACATGTGTAGTTCTAGGCCTACTATTTTTAAAAATCATTCTAATTTTTAATTGATGATTTCATTTTTATGGCATATTAGGTCAGAACAGGACTATATTACTGATTTATCTTCCATGAATATAATATAAACAAAATAAGATAGATGGTCTAGTACTTGAAAGTTTTAGTTATGACGTGTGAGAAACGATCATGGAAATACAGGTACACAACAGGGGTGGCACTTGACATGGTTATTCTTTTTCTTACAATGTTTCTCCTTTGCATCATACTATGATTATATTGCTTGTGATACTTGCTCACTAATTTCCATTAAAACAGTAAAAACTGTTCCTGTCATTTTCGACTTTCATCATTCCATTCCTTCAATCTGATACTAGTCAGAAATAAAGAAATAAAGCCTAGGAAGAACATGACGAAAACGTTCCATGTTAAGTTATTCAAACTTTTAAGTGATACATCTGTCTAGATGGTCAGAGAAGTGAAAGCGCCTCCTTGTGCAATGTACGCACTATCAACTGGATAAGACACATAAGAATGTTTAGTTTTACGTGAATATATAATGGCAGACATGCCCAAAAAATTGTACCGGTAACTTAGGGTGTAGGTGTATTCCCAGAGATTTAGATCGATCCAGAGATTAAGCTTTAGATCGACCTAACTCCCTGGGGGTTCACGCTAAGTTGCAGTCAGCCGAGCGCGCACCATAGTTAATTGCCCCCTTCCAGCTTTCAGTAGGCGGGACAGACGTTTAAGCCGGCTAAGCTGACAGTAATCTAGTGAGACTCCCCACAGGGATAGATCGATCTAAAATCTATGGAAACGGGTTCTTAGGCAGCGTAGCGAAAACGCTAATTTATAAACTCATGTAGTTTATAAAATGCAACCCCTAAGCTCCTATCTATCTCCTATCTATCTCCTATCTATCTAACCCCACAAATGAAAAAGACAAATAATTGTTTTGTTAATAATAAAAACTTATGCTAACTGATTACAGGAAGATATTTTGGATGATTTGTATAACTGAATATACATAGATACCCACTATATTTATACCTGAAAATGCTTTACACATGCAATTATTGATGGCAATCCATTTTGGAAACACAATTATAGTTACTCAAAATGTTTGAAAGTACACATAGAATAAAACATGCACATAGCCTTAAACTTTGACAAAATCCAACGTTATGTAAAAGAATTATTTTAAAAATGTTACTTTACATTATGACCAGTACTTTGTTATAAAGTTCGACTAACTGCACATTGCAGGTTGAAATTGAACACACTGATACTAAAATTCCTTAGACATTGTGCGTCGAAGGCAATAAAACTTCTTCCTTAAGGACTACAGCTTAGGGAAAATGAGATGACGTGTGTAAGTGATGATTTATTTATTACGTTTATCTGTTATCCAAATATATTGTACATGTATATAAGAGAGTAAAGGAGGAGTTGTCAAAGGCTAACAATACCCTTAAGACCCATATCTTGAAGAACCCTTGGAAATTTTCATCCATAAGATAACAGTATACCTGTACTGGGCATCTGGTATAGGGCAAATGTATCTAGCCAGAAGAACGGAACGCGCAAAAAGTAAATACTTGTGCCCTAGCTGCACCCGGCTTGTGACCGCTTGGAGAACGAAGCGGGGCTTAATCAAAAATAAAAAAGACTATACTAAATGGGCAATTTGACAAGTATACTTTCAAATGACCGATAAAATGTTATTATGCATCCTTTGTAGTTACATTTTCATTAAAAGTCCTGGTCCGCGTAATAGACATGCTTTGGAGTAAATCTTATCTTCGGTCGTTTATGTTGTCACAAACGCACACACGTACAGTACTATTTTAGGTCAGAGTTTATTTTTGAATGATTGCAAATCTATTTTCGTTCTATGTCTTTTAAAATATACAAATTTTGTTTGTGTTTGGCAATTTCTTAAAGTAGAATTTGAAGTTTTTGTATTCAAGTTGTCCTCTATATCTTCTATTTATTTCCTAAAATTTTCACTGGTTTTGCATTTGAAAGCTTTATCGTCCAGCTGATAAACTAGAATAGAGTCAACTTCTAATTTGAAACACAAAACCATGCATATGAAGACAATATTTTTTACAGCAAGCGCTTCAAACTGGACAAAAGTTCTGACAGTGGCGTTACTAAGTTCCACAGAGGCCAACGGATTGTCGAGCGGAACACCAATAACGCTGGCACGATAATGCACAAGGATAGAATGTATCAAGCTGGTGGATATTATTCTGGTAGAAAACAACGGCGACACTTCAACATGGAAGTTGACAGAACACGAAATATCAGGCATTCATCCCCCAGTTCAGCAGCCACTTTTGGGACAACTCAAAGGAGAACCATCCACGGCAATGACCCGAATACAACTGCCAGCTCGGGAAGAAGTGTCAGCTTGTTTTCATCTAATCGTCACCCGAGTGCTGACTTCAATACAAAAAAAGAAAGGGAAGATTACAGCTTTAAACTACAGGACCAAAGGGGAATGCCTGAAATTGACGAGTATCCATCTCGCAAACACCAATGGCCAGACCTTAGATCCACTATGCATGATGACAGAGCTCAAACATCCAGGCGTGCACCCCCCAGTTCAACAGCAACTTTGGGGACAGCCCAGAGGGGAAACTTACACAGAAATGTCCAGAATGCGACTGCTAGCTCAGAAATAAGTACTAGCACTTTTCAATCTAATAGTCTCTCATGTGCTGAGTTCAATCCAAGAAGACAGAGAACAGATTACAGATTTCAGCCATCCAAAAACAGAATATCTGAAGTTGATGAGTATCCATCTTGCAGAAACCAATGGTCTCACTTATATACTTCTGTGGAGGCTAGCACAACAAAAGCCTTAAGGCCTGCGTCCTATTCGACAAAAACTTCAGACAAAATACAGAGAAAAGATGGCCACAGGTACAGCTCTCAACTGGGCAAGCGCAAAATGTGTGAAATCGATGATCGTCCATCTCTTAGAAACCAACGGTCTTGCCTTCATACTTCTGAGCAGGAAACCACACTAAAAACCCCAAGGCGTGCATCACCGTGTTCGACAAAACCTGCAGTGAAAACACCGAGAAAATATTCCGACCGCAATGATACCCAGATTGTAAAATCCGCTACTAAGAAAAGAGAAAGGAAAGATTGGTGCAAATCTGACATGAAAGCGGGAATAAAGAGGGTTGACCAAAGGGCTAGGAGGTCATCTTCATTTTCATCTTCAAGTAGAAATGTTTCAAGGGGGAAAACTTCAACTGACGAAGCACTTGGATATAAACAGCTGGAAAATATATCACTTTTGGAGCCCGATAAGGTTGCATTGGAACTTGGATTGGCTGATAAAAGATTCATTAAATTACTGGAAATGGGGAATCTGTCAGATGACAGGCTACGCCTTATAGTTAAAACTCTTGCCAATGTTTCATCATCTACCTATGACCACATCAAAAGGGGGCTACTAAGAAAGGTTTATAATACCAACTTCCTTGAAAATGGATCATATTTGATCACATTCATCAGTGGACTTCGTATTACTTTCCAGTCTTCCCAGGATGAAGATTTCCTCAAACAATTGACGAAGGTTTTGAGAGAAATCATCATTACTATCAATGTCCAAAGCATCATGCAGAAACTTCTAACATTGATCAATGCGTTGGATGCAACAGTTCAGGGCATTGTGGAGAAATGCCAAGACCCGAATGAAATGGAAGAGCACAGAAACAGCCTCAACCACATTATAGATACTTGCATATCCAGAGTTACAAGGAAGGCAAACAATATTGAAGAGGGGCCTCCGGATGTTTTTGCTGAAATCTCAGTTCTCCCCTCAAAAGAGGACTTATTGCAAAACGAAACGTTTTTAAGAGTAAATCGTGAAAAGGGAAGTTATGAATCTTTGCACGACTACCTTGACGTACAGTTCCGTCTTATGCGTGAAGATTTTGTTCAGCCTCTCAGAGCATCTCTACAAGATTGTTTTTCACACAAAAGGGTTGACAACATTTACAAAAAAATTCATATTCTTCCACACGGTTATATAGATCCATCACCATCAGTGGGAGTCGTTTTTCGAGTGCAATTTGATACATCACCTTTGAAACATGTGAGGTGGAAATACTCAAAGCGTTTAAGGCCTGGGACACTTGTACTTTTGTTTACAGACGACCTCAAATATATGGTTTATGGTACAGTCGTAGATAGAGATATCAAAGCACTTCAGAAAGGAATTGTTGGACTTCATTTTATTTCCTCTACTAAAGATGTTCATTCACTCATGAGTGAAGAATACCAAATGGTCGAATCACCTGCATTCTTTAAAGAATATGAACCCATTTTAGAATCTTTGCGGAGATTTAATAGGATGGAAAATCCTGAAAATTTTCCATTCATTAAATATCTCGTGTATGCCGAAACTGCTGTTTCTCCACCATATTATTTAACAGTTCTGAAGAATGAAATGTACACACTTGGATCACCAACATTCTGTCTGGAGAGTACAGATGTGGCATCTTCGTCGAAATTGAATTGTCCGACGTCACCATCATGCGATACAACTTCTCCCATACACATACCAGAGTTAGATGAAGAATATGCGCTAGAATCAAAGCAAGTCAAAGGAAGCGAAATACTGTATGATTTCAGTCCTTTGTTACAAAACAATGCTGATACAGGCGACCGTTTTAGAGGTGAGAGAAAACTGCCAGCCAAACGATTGGTGGACAAGATTGAACGGATTGCCCCAGTTTTTGACCTAGATAAGTGGCCCACAGCTCAAGATCTTGGCTTAGATGAAAGTCAGCGGAAAGCCATCCATTTGGCATTAACAAAAGAACTTGCCATAATACAAGGACCGCCAGGTACAGGGAAAACTCACGTTGGTTACAAACTTGTTCAACTTCTACTGCAGAACGGTGATAAGCGACACAACAGTACTTCTAACTCTCAGATTCTTATCATTTGCTACACAAACCACGCATTGGATCAGTTCTTAGAAGGTATACTAAGCACAAGTGGAAAACATATCAAACGCGCTAGTGATATGATTAGGGTTGGCTCCAGGTCAAAGAGTGAAATACTCAAAAAGCATTCACTACGGGAAATTAAACGAGACATCCTTTTAAGGGTGAATTCAGGCCGAAAAGAAATAAGCCGTTTCATTTCAATGGCAAACAGAAAACTTATTTATGCCAGAAAACGTTTCAAAGAAGTTCATAATCTTTTGGAGACAATTGAGTCACGTACCTGCATTTACAGCGAAGATGTGCTGTTTAGAAATGGCTGTATGACATCCAATCAAAAAGACACCCTTCATGCGGGTTACTGTACACCAAACAGACCAATAATGTTACAGTGGCTGGATGTTTTTAATGTATCAGGGTCTGTTAAGAATTCGGTTCGCCAAATCTCTGTGCAGGAAACTGAGGAAGCTGAGCCTGGAGAAATAATAAGTGATGATGAAGTGGATCCCGTTTTGATGGAATACAATGAAGCATATGCAGAAGTTTATGAAGGACCAGCTTGGACAAAAAAGCAAAAAGTACATGAAGCATGTTTTTCTATTATGAATGATTACACCCTTGACACATGCAAATTAGAGATTGACTTAGAAAATAATGCACTGAAAGACTTTTGGGAGACGATTCATCCGAAAGGCATTCCACACATAATACAGAAGGTTCGCAGGGAACTTCAAGATGTAGATAATGTACTAGAGTCTTCAAAGGTCCAAAATGTTTGGAGTCTTTCCATCAGTGACCGGTGGAAACTGTATCGAGCATGGGTGACACATTTCCACCAAAGTGTCCGTAAACAAGTAATTGAACTACAAAGGGAATATGAAGATGAATTAGCCTTGCACAAGGAAATTCAAAGCGAAGAAAATTTCCAAGTACTCAGGCATGCAAAAATAATTGGTCTTACCACAACTGGATCAGCGTTATGTCAAAAAACTTTAGAAAAACTTCAGCCGCAGATTATTATTGTAGAAGAAGCTGCCGAATGCATGGAATCGCATATTATTAGCTCATTAACAGAATCGACTCAGCATCTTATCCTCATTGGCGACCATCAACAGCTCAAGCCCAGGCCAGCGGTTTATGCTCTGGCAAAGAAGTACAAACTTGAAGTATCGCTGTTTGAAAGGCTAATAAACAACAAATTGCCATATGTTTGCCTTCAAGAACAGCATCGAATGCGACCAGAATTTGCCAAATTGTTGGTGCCAGACTTCTATGACCGCCTAGATAACCACGTTTCTGTTCTTAACATTGAACCCGTCCGCGGAGTCAAACAAAGTTTGTTTTTTGTGACTCATACACAGGCAGAGAGCAACGAATTTGAAAAAAGTCCCTCCAACAAACACGAAGCAGACTTCATTGTTGCCCTCCACAGGTACTTACTTCAACAAGGTTATGACTCACAAGACATCACAATTCTCACTGCCTACTCTGGACAGGCCAACCACCTACGAAAACTTATGAAGACTAAAGATGACCCAAACACAACATCAAAGGCTAAAATTCCAGATGGGAACAATTGTAATAAAACCCTCGATAAAGAGAGCCCGATTTCAGCAAGGATCACCACAGTTGATAATTTTCAAGGGGAGGAAAACAAGATAATCTTATTATCATTAGTGAGAAGTAATGAAGAAGGTAAAATTGGGTTCATGGAAACGTCCAACAGAGTTTGTGTAGCACTTTCTAGGGCAAAGGAAGGCTTTTACGCTATAGGTGACTTTAGCTTGTACAGAAAGAAAAGTGATTTGTGGAGGAAGTTAACAGACAAATTGTATCAGGAGAAAAATATGGGCGATGCCCTCAATTTGTGTTGTCCGAACCACCCCGATACAATTACAAAAGTGCAATGCAAAGAAGATTTTAATAAAGTACCTGAAGGCGGTTGTCGACTCCTGTGCCAAACTCGTTTACGCTGTGGGCATACATGTCCAAGAATGTGCCACTCAGACGATATGAAGCATGAATACCAGGTTTGTAATGAGACGTGCAGAAAGAAAATGTGCAGCCGAGCACATCGTTGCAAGAAACCCTGTTACAGTCATAAAAACTGTGGCCCTTGCTCCACAAAAGTAGAAAAGGTTATGCCTAAATGTGCTCACAAACAGATGGTACCTTGTCACATACCAGAAACACACTTCCCTTGCAAGGAACGTTGCGAAAAGGTGCTGCCATGTGGCCACATATGCCAAAGAAAATGCGGAGAAGAGTGCACAACACCTAGTAGTTGCAGGAGTTTAGTGAGAGTCACCCTCAAGTGTGGGCATGAGGTTCAGACCTCTTGTAACATTGGGAAAAACGCAGCATGTTCTGTTCCATGTGAAGCTTCACTTCAGAACTGTGACCACCAATGTTCTGGGACTTGTGGAGAATGTATGCAGGGGCGCCTTCACAAAGCATGCACTGCACAGTGTGGAAGGATATTACTCTGTGGGCATGAATGTAACATGCCGTGTGCAAAGTCCTGCCCACCATGCTTTAAACGGTGCGAAATTAGATGCATTCACAACAGGTGCACTAGAAAATGCTCAAAGATATGTAGAGAATGTGCAGAGCCATGTGGTTGGAGCTGTAAACATCACAAATGTAGCAGACTTTGTTTTGAAATATGTGACCGTGAACCATGCAATGAACCCTGTGAGGATTCTCTGCCCTGCGGTCACCCATGTATGGGACTCTGCGGTGAACAGCACCCAAAGCTATGTAGAATCTGTGATAAACATAAGGTACAGGACATTCTGGAATGGTATTCCGATGAGGAAAATGACAGTGATGCACGGTTGGTGATGCTTACAGATTGTGAGCATGTATTTGAAAGAAACTTCCTTGACCGGTGGATGGCAGTTGAACAGGAATCAGATACCCGATCTATTCAGCTGAAGGTATGTCCAATTTGTAGGAAACCATTATATAGCACACAGCGATACGGAAATATTTTCAAGCAGAAACTTCGGGATGTGCAAACAGTCCGTGAAAGGATTCTCAGAGAAACCAGGTCTCCATTATTTTTGGAACAAAAACGGAATCTTATTGCTCAGTTAGAAGATAGAAAAAGAAAGGTGTCATCGGAACTTGGTATTAGATTGTTAAACGAAGTCAAAAAATGCAAAACGAGCTATATTCTCAGAAGTTTGCAGGGAATATCTTTGTCATTAATCAAGATAGACCAACTAGACCGTCAATTCTGCCAAATCAATGACGAGATAACACAGTTTGATTACAATATTGAAGACGTCCTATTTTTAGACGAAAACTTCATTCCTTCAGTATCAGATGTAAGAGAAGACATTTTGAAGCTAAAGATGTGGCTTTCAAAGAAACGTACATTGTCAGAGTATCAAAGTGACCAACTCGTCAAAGAAGTCCAACGATTAACGCTAGCGGGCAGTCTGTTTCAGATATTAATATCAATAATCTCCCAGTTCAAGGGCAATCCTGTCGAGAATAAGGAAGAAATGGATAGGCTCACTGAGCATGGAAATGAAGCGATGGGTGGTTTTAAGCAGATTAACACGAGGCACCCGCCAACCGAGGAGACATTGGAATCAGTCACGCGTTTGATATCGTCTCTGAAGCAGTACAGTGGACCCGACACAGAAAGCCTTAAACTGGTAGTCAAAGCAATGGACTTTGGTCCTCAGAGTCATTGGTACAAGTGTCCCAATGGTCACATCTACTGTGTAACTGAGTGTGGAATGCCTATGGAAGAAAGCGTTTGTCCGGAATGCCAAGAAGTTATAGGAGGGGAGAACCACAGGTAGAGGATAAGATGCACTTGTTTTATTTAGATACTTAGATAGTCAAATTAAATGCTTTGGAAAAGACATGATCTTCCTTGATATGTTCAGTGTAATCCGCTAACCTCTTCCTGATATCTTCATGAAAATAAAAAATGATAGTGTTGTGTAATATTTTCTCTTTAGGCTTCGGTCGGACAACCAGGAAGTAGATATAAACGTTCTGATGGACACCTAACAACAGCCATATGACACTTTTTGTGAAGGTAACTTTTCAAATTATCTTTATGAGTGAATTTATAATACAACTTGGAGATTTTATTAAGTCGTTTGTATCTTAGATTATGCCACAGTTCATGCTGCTTTTAACTATGTATCATTTTTTTTATTTTAGTTCAATGTGTTACTTCTGGAAATTGAATCGGCGTCCGACGTTCGACGATTACTCACATATCCATTCAGAAGCTATACTACAAATATGGCAGTCGCATTTGTCTTTTTCTGTGAACTCACTATAAACGTTCTAAACCCCCTAAATCCATTCATTTTTTGCTATTTTGTATATACACGGTGCCTATATCTTACTCACCATTGTATAGATTGTACATTGTATATTTTCAAAGAAAAGACTGGTGTCTAAAAAGCAGGGTATTTAACTAGCATACATACCAGAAAAATTATGCGGTGTGATGATCAATTTGAATACTTGCTTCTATAGGTGCGGGTGCTTTCATGCCTGTATCTGTCTTTCTATGTTATGTTACATATGTGATCTTAATTGCCTAGACATATCATGCGTATTTTTCATGTATTTATTGTGCCTACCAATAGGTAGGCCTATAAGTAAAGAATTCTGCCTGTGTATTTAAAATGTATTTTATGTTTTTCAAAAATGTTTTCAATGTTTTAAGAGGATCTTTTGTATGCTCTTCACAGACCTGTGACACTTGGCAGGACTATTTATATAGATGGGAGAATGTATTTAATTCTATTTTAAGCCTTCATTTTTGTAGACGTGCACTGTATATAAACTGTATATACACTGTATAAAATGTATTTCAATTCACCGAAAAAATTGTCGAATTCCCAGGATAAATGTCATAGTTGCAGCCATAGGAATGATCAATTTCACAAATATTACTGAATAAGTCTGCAACGAAAACAAAGATCCAGTAAATATAGTGAAGATAAGTACTATTATTGCAATCAGAACTATGAAAAATGCCGCCGCAACAAACGCAAATATGGCGATAAATACTGGAAAAGTGAAGGCCACGAGAAACTTTGAAAATTTTCCAGAATTTGATGCCAACCCAAGGACTTGAAGAAAAGGTGCCATTAGCTTGCTGTGCACTTCTCTGGGGTCTTTCGTTAGTAGTGATCTGAAAATAT